GGAGAAATACGTTGGTATTTTCTCACTCCAGTGAGGAGTCTGGCCGCCGCATTCTGCACCACGTGAAGTTTCCGCATCAGCCTCAAAAGCAGCCCCACGTAAAGCATGTTACAGTGGTCTAATCTTATTGTCTATAAGTCTATCCACTACAGATTGTGTTACAGGATAGGCATGTCATGTCGGGACATATAAATCAATGAGTAGAAAAGATAAGATTATTTTCAACAAAATAGAAATCTGCTTGTGGAAACTATACATTATACATATTTAGGAGCTGGGCAGCTCAATCGTACTATAGACGGTTTCACCGAAAACTCTTCTGTTATCAATTAATGAAAACTGGATTATTGGTGAATAGATTTAGAGTAAGGTAGGGCAGGGTTGAGTTAATTTCATGAGTACCTGTGCCTAATTTCAGAAGGCAATGGTTCAGAATTTTGGAAAGAGTAATCTTCCTTTCCCCTGAAAATTATCCGGACAGGAAAGAAAAGGGAAGAGACAAATAAAGCAGAGGAACTTGTAGAAAGGTAGAGAAAGTTTAGTTTCACCCACTTTGGGCTCTTGGCCTACCTACCACTGACTTTGGGACTGCCCACCAGTGGCATGCAGACCTTGAGGAAATGCACCCTTCCCTACCCCCAGTGGAGAATATAATCCTTCCCCTTGCATGAGTAGCATGTATTGATGGAAAGATCTGCATGCTGAGTAATTTAAATAGAGATGGGAAAGAGAGCTGGATGGAGAGATGGCATGAAAACATGTCTCTCTTCCCCACAGTCTCCTGGTAAATGGAAGGGACGGGGAAGAAAATACAGTGCTCTACTAGAATCTCTTGGAAAAGAATTGATTTCTTTGAATTATGGAGATGGAGGACAGCTTTGCAGATATCCTGGACTGGCAAATAAGTGGTTCATAGCTCAGATCAAGCCCGAACACTCCCTAGAAGTAAAAACGACAAAACTAAAGCTATCCTACTTTGGGCATGCCATAAGAAGACCAGACGCGCTCGTAAAGAGTAATGCTAGGAAAAGTCGATGGCAGCAGGAGAAGATGAAGACGTGAAGAAACAAAGCAACAACAAGTGAAATTTGCATGGATTTTTCCGTCTGCAACTGCTATACCCTGGTACATGGCAGGATTGTAACCTCACTATATTCTGGTGCCAAGTAAAAACCAGGCTTTTCATCAATGACATTGAGGTCTTGGATCTTGTCTGGATTAAGTTCTGCTGTTTTCTGTATTATATATATAATTCTAATGGCTTAAAATGGTTTTTAAATTGCATACATTGTTTTATGCATCCCAAATTGTTTTAAGTGATTTTATATGTTTTATACTATTGTTTAAAATATATTGGGGGAAGGGGTTATTATTGGCAGAATACAGTATAGCTTTTTATGCTAATATACTATATAATAGTGAGATTTTTTTTTCCAGGAAAACGTGTCTGTGACTTCAATTGTAACAGGATCTGATTTTGCCTATCCAAAAGCAGAGTAGCTATTTATTATACATGGCCATGTATCCTAGATTATGGAGCTGGAGGATATAATTAGAGTCTATGATTTGCTGGTTCAAAGGAAAGCAAGAATCAAGGTGGCATTTAAAGTTTGCTTTTATAAAGCAAACCATTTAGCTTCATTTTGTATCTTATATGCTGCTAATGTGGGTGTTTGAGTTTTAGAAATGATAACTGGGATATCCTTTGATCCCTTAGTAGAAATAGAAGACAGGTAGTGAATATTTGTGTATTCCTTATTCTGTAATCCATTGCAGTTTAAAACGATTAATTCAACATTTGGGATAAGCTGATCAAGGCTGGAAGCAGTGGAGGGGAGGAGAGGAGGTGTGTCTGATTGATTTCCCCTAGGGTTGTTTGTGTGCTTGTTTGTTTCTATAAAGGACAAAAATAGGGTTGTATATTTACATGAGTTCCTTTACAGATTAGTTCAGCCTTGTTTTGTTTAGCTTCTTTCCTTTGAGGAACATTAGGTGTCATTTTAATGACATTACACAGAGCTCTTCATTGTCAATAGCTACACATTTATCATAGTTGATTTTGTGATGCTGAATCAGAAACCCCATCTTTCGTTGTATTTCTTGTATGTTACTTCTTAGAGGAAATTTTGTATTACATCAGTGATGTTTGTCTGGAGGCACTGTAAACTATGGCCATCACTAGAGAGAGGGGGGGAAAGAGAGAAATGTAATAAAAATGTAAAATGGCTAACATGTTGATAGTCTTCATAGGATCGTCTAACAGTTCTTAATGATGGGTTGTTCTTAATGTACAGATCTTAATGATGGTTTTTAAGAGTTGTCCAGAGGTCTTTGATGGGATGGCAAGTACATCCAAAGAAATATGCAAATTAACCCATCTGGATTTTTCCATTTGGAAATTTCTCCCTAAAGTTTCTCAAATCCAGGAGAAAAACCAAAAGCTAAAGACTTTTTAGGAACAAGTGAGTCCACAGTGACTCCTTTGATCACTTGAGACCATGTAAGATACACACACACAATAGAAGCTCCTTGAGGCATCTGCAAGATCATGGCTTCCTCTTCTCATCAGCTGCTATAGCAGCAAACAAAATAAAGATCCCAGTTCTGTCTGCGACCTCTGCTACCTTCTATTCCTGATGCTTTACAAATCACCGGAAGTACATCTCAAACAGAGTATTTCAAAAGCAAAACCAAAATAAAAGCTGTCAATTTTCTAAGGAATGTAGTGACACATTTGAATTCTTTTACTGAGTACCTCTCCTCTTGTTACTCTTCTCTGTTTATTGTAGTTTATGCATCACATCGGACATGTGTGCCAAACACACATGCAATAAGCATTTGGGAATTAACCAGGCTCACATAGAATGTTCACAGTTAAATGGCATTATGCATTTCCTAGTTGTTCTTCTACAAGTGCAATAATCAGGAAATGTGATGTGATAATGATCACAGGATAGCTTACCTTAGAAGCAGCAGCAGAAGACATTTTCTCTTTGAGGAACAGCATGAAACAGATGCACAACATGCTGAGATCACTGGCATGGTTTCAGCCCATTGTGCTAGCTCAGCAGTTAGAGTGGCTGAGAGCAGCTTCAAATGTTGAAGCATCTGCAATCACCTGGAGGTGCACATGTCCAAATGGGGATGAGTTAATAAAGCCTTGCCTATTTTTTCCTGCATATCTTTCTCTTTGAACATTTACAGTAGCAATGCAGCAACAGAAATTGTGAAAAAAAATTAAAAATGAATTACAGAATTTTATATTCTGACTCTCTATCATACTCAGTATCTAACACATAGTTTCAATAAACCAATCATTAAAAAACCAAATCAGAATAAATCAGCAACTATCACCATCGTACATAACCACATGGGGGATGCTTGGCTCTTCAGATACTGTTGGATTGCACTTCCACTCAGACAGCATACACTGCATGATTGTGAGGGATCATGGAAGATGTGCTCCAGGAGTATCAAGAGACCACACATGCCCTATATCTCATCAGTAGAAAACCTCCTGATCCCCCTGGAAGGACGATATTTGACTTTTGAAGTGGACTCAGATATAACTCAGCAGGCAAAACCATGTTAACATAAGTCTCATCTTTTCACCTGTTCTGGCAGCTACATTTGGATCAGCAGAATTTTCTGAACAGTCATCAGTGTCAGTTCAACAATCTGAACATTATTAAGAAATACATAACTGTGGGCAAGGCTGGCTTAACTAAGAAGCAGGAATACCAGGGCATCTTTGGCTACAATTATTTCCAGAACAGCACACAGTATTTGCCAACCTCCCCAAATTGTGTCTCACTCACTGCACATAGAGGCCCACTACCCATGCATAGGATTGGGCATGGGGTGGAAGTGGGAGACAGGATTGTGAAATACGGTATATTCCATGCTGCTAGACTGGACTAGATAGCTGATTTCAGCTTGATGTGCCATGTGTTGTAGAAGCTTGTTGCCTGTGGGTGGTGTTATGTAAGATGTACCAAGTAAACATCATGAGCTAGTTGTCTGTTAGATACCCCAACCACTTTTCCCTCACCCCTTAAAATCTAAGCCCACGTGTTTTCAGTGTAGGTTAAATAGAGATCTCAAGGGTAAAGCATTTTTACTTCTCAAACAGCAGATGCCAAGGTTTCATAGTGATCACTAATAAATAATTGTGTCCATGCTCTTTTCAAAAAGCAACAAAATTTATTATGTGCATTTCTCAGCACAGAGTATAGGCTATAGCTAAGTCCTTGAATGACTTCAGAGATCTCATTATCAAGCTATCAAATTTGTGACTATGAAATACTGTGAGGTAAAGCTTAGTGATGTGGATTCACACTGCTGTGCATAAATTTGAAGAAGATTCTGTTGTCCTTTCCATAGACATTGAGTGATAGTGATTGATACCTCCAGGTTTTAGTGAACATAGAATGAGAAATGGAAAATGAGGAGATGGCAATGAGAGGAATGAAATAGTAACAGACAGAAGTCTGCTATATCGTCTTTCCCAGCCTATGGTGACAATATCATTAAAAGTGATCACACTCTAGATTTCAAAATGTCAGCTACTTGCTTTGCACATCGTACTACGTGCTAGGTGAACTTCTTTTCATTTAATGAAATGGTAATGGTTCTTTGGTCCACATAGAACAGAGCAGCATATGTGTTTTCATCTGTTTTTTCCTCAAGTAGCAAGGACAAACTTCTGAACTGCTTTTTGTACTTAGTAGAGGGAAAGAAGGAAATACAAAAAAACATCCTAGAACATCAGAATAGTTTGTTGATGGGAATTGCTATGCTAGATAAAGGAAAGTGCTAAGCACATATGAATATGTTCAGATTACCATATTTTGGATTAATATTTTAGGACAGATATGTGAAGATGTAACAGACTCTCACACATTTTCTCATCTTTGACAAAAAGAGGGTATCTTCACAAGCAATTTTATAAAGCCACTGAAAACAGTGTGGATATTTAAAATGCTTTTTCTCCCTTGCAGGAGGATATGGATCACAATTACTACACCTCTAGGACGTATGGACCATTTGATTCCGCCAGCCGAGATCTATGGGTGAACATAGACAAAATGGAGAAAGATAAAGTGAAGATTCATGGTATCCTCTCCAACACACACCGGCAAGCAGCAGTAAGGCGTTTGCTATAGATTGATATTTAATCATTTGTAGCTGATATCCTGGCTTCCTCTGTGCTACACATAGCACTTTTTTATATAGAATAGCTGTCACAGAATTTTCACCCTTGAACCCATTTCTGCTCATCTATTTTTATTTTTGCTTCTCTTTGATTTAGTTTACATGTCCATCAGAATATATTCCCTTTAGAAAACCTTTTTCCCCCCTGGATGAGCTTAAAATCTCTCTGGAGAGTTAGAGCAAAGTTACAGAGAATTATTGTGGCAGGAAAGGGAAATCATTTTCATGTCATTCAAGCCAGTGACTGTTTTTCCACTCCATTCACATGATGGATGAATTATGCCACAAATGGACTAGCTTAACTTCCATATTTAGAAGGAAAAATAACAGCTCTGTATTTAGCCTTTTAGGTTTGTGTGAGATGCCACAGAACCTGCATTTCCGAGAACTATTCAGTCCATCTCAAAATATTGTTGTTTTGTTGCAGTTGATTCTTCTTAATGATAACAGATGTGGCAGATATAATTTCACTTCCAGATCAAAAATCTGCTTTGGCTAATTCCAGTCACACACTCCTTGCAGCAAGAATAGTAAACTAGGCTGACACCTTACAAGTGTGATTGGATGCTGGATGTATTCCAAAGCTGGGTGGATAGATCAGTGTGGTTTAGGTGTCTGGCTGCAGAGCCAGAGGTACCTCCTGGGGAAGATGATCCAGCCTATGTAGCCTTGGGCAAGCTGCACAGTCCTAGGATGCCCCCAGAAGAAGGGAATGATAAACCACTTCCATGCATTTTCTACCTAGAAAACCCTGGGAAGGGTGGTCATAAATCAGAATTGACTTAATTATTATTATGTATTTGTAGAGGAGGCCAAATACTAAAAGCTGTGTGAAGGAAAGAGTTGGTATGGCCCTGAGAAGGGGTTTATAGGCAGCAGGAAAAATGACAAGTCCATTGTTGTGAGGCAATGGAGTCTTGCTCTGTTGGAGTGATTGGACTGAATTCTGACACCTTGGAAAAGGTGACACCATAGAATGACACCATAGGATGAAACTGACACCATAGCACGAAACTGGCTTGAAGATATACAGTGGGGTCTTGACTTGAGAACTTAATCCGTATTGGAAGGCGGTTCTCAAGTCAAAAAGTCTGTAAGTCAAGTCTCCATTGACCTACAGTGCATTGAAAACCGATTAATCCCGTAACAGGCCGTTTTTGTTCCATTTTGGTTTTTTTCTGGTCTGTAAGTCAAATCTCAGTCTGCAAGTCGAACCTAAATTTTGCAGCCAGAGAAGTCTGTAACTCAAAAAGTCTGTAAGTCAAGCCGTCTGTAAGTCAAGGGTCCACTGTAGTCCATGAACTCTTAAAACATAGAGGAAAAATCTGCAGCTTTAAGGAATGGCAGGAAGAAAGAAATAAGAGTGTTAGAATGCAATTATCCACTGGGTTGTATCATGTCATTTCCCAGGGCAAATAAACTCACCAACCAGGTGACAGGCTAAGAGAGGAGGAGTAGACAGAAGAGAATCTCTGTAGGATATGGAAGGAGAGAGAGGTAATAAACCTTCTAGATTTAGACTGACACGACATAATTTATAGAAACTTTCTTTCCCCAGCCAACCAAAAAGAATAGCAAATAAATGAATAGAGCAAAGTGGAAATTCTGGTGTCTGGCAGTTTCCTGATTTAAGTCTGAACCTGATATTGCACAATATGAGTTATCTGCAACTTCTAGACATGGTTGGTTGTTTGATAATAAAAAACAAACGGTGCTGCAAATTTAACAGCACAGCCATTCTGCAAGTAAATCTTTTCTTGAGCACTCTTAGAAAATGAGTCAGGTAAGAGACCAGGATGAAACAGCCTGGATGTCTGATCAAAGGAATTTCAACCATTTCTGTTTTGTTTCAAATGAAAGCAACCCTGCCAGGAGTCTTGACTTTACACTTACTACTAAACATGAGCGAGCTGAGCTAATAAATTTGCAAGGGTTGACTGTGCCAAGGGTTTGTGTTTTTAAAGACATCTTGGTGTACTTCAACTAGCTGGATAGCTCAATAGTTTAGGTGTCTAGTTGCAGAACCAAAGTTTGGGAGTTTGACTCTCCCCTGCCTCCTGCAAGTAGATCTGGCCTGTGTGGCCTTGGGCAAGCTGTACAGTCCAAGGGTACCCCCAGAAGAAGGGAATGGTAAACCACTTCTGAGTCCTCACTACCTGGAAAACCCTGGGGGGAAAAAGAGTTACTTCTGAGTCTTCACTACCTGGAAAACCCTGGGGGGGGGGAAAGGGTTACCAGAATTGACTTAATAGCACATCATGATGATGATGATCGGTGCATGTCTGTACTAAATGTGAGATAAAGCAGCCAAACATAAAAATAAGACAGATAATAATTAAGAAAACTTTCAAATAAATAGACACGCAGATTGAAAGGGGGCAGTGAAAGTACTTGTACTTGTGTTATCCTTTAAAATAACATGAATGTCTTTATGCACTGTACTTTCATTCTGCTGAAATCCAAGAAACTAATAATGATAGATACTACTTACCTTGCAGCCAACACTGGCACAAATGTGGGTAGTACTTCTGACAAGGCTAATCTCAGGATGTGAACCTTCTGGGTTAGATCCTCTTAGGAATGTAGCCAATTAAGTTTGAGGAAATTAAAATTAGAAGAACATTTTTTTTACTAACTGGAGTAGAGTGACCAGCTTGAATATGGATGAATCTGAGTATCTTCTATCTCAGGCTGCAATAGGGAAGTAAAGCTTCAATCATTTTGTTCTTGTGAAAATGAAAAATTGGGAGAGGTTATGGGAGATTTCATATATATGGGCCAATTGGTAATTTTTTTCCCCAAGAAATGTTCTCACAAATATTTTGTGTGCAAAAAGATACCCTTCTATTTTGCGTAGAAACGTGGATTTTGAGTAAAGAACATATATTTTATGGAAAATGCTTTAAATTTTTGTTATTGACAATCCATTTAAAATACCATAAAAGAACTATATAAACTATAATACAATCACAGTCATCTTATTTATAGACTCTTGTACGTTCATATGCAGTATGTACAATACCAAAATTATCTCTTTAACTACTTCACTCTCTTTGATTGCTCATTATTCATATTTCATATCTAACTTTAAATACTTAAACTAACCGACATTCCAGCCTGTTTCCTACTTTTTCTTCTGTATTTTTTATTCACTACCAGAGGTCAACAGAAGCTGCCAAATCTTCATGAAATTATCTTATTTTATTTCTCCTCTCTACAGTCTGACTTGACTAGTCTGTTTCTCCAGCAATGCTGACCATCCATATTTTATTCAAGAATCTTTGCAAGGAAAGATCTTGAGCATATTTCCAGCATTGGGCAATTTGATTTCTCACTGTTCCTGTAAGAACTGCCATGAACTCTTTCTTGGATAAATGTTCATTTCCTCCAGTAAATCATGAGAACAGTACTGTAGTAAGGTTTCATTTGGGATTATTTTTTGATTTGTTATATTTTCTAACCAACTGGTTACTTCATACCAGAATGCTTCTACTTTTGGACAAACTATCTGTATGTCCTCCCAAAGATTCTTTATACCCACAATTCCTTCAGCACAATTCTGGGATTTCTCAATTAATTCTGTGTAGTTTTGTAAGACACAAGTGCCACTTATGAACTACTTTTAACACCGTTTATTTAGATTTAGGTGATACCAATTTGTACAGTTGGGTAGTTGATATTTGTGTCCAAATATTTTCTAGTATATTGATATTTAATTTTCCCCCCAAACTGTCTTAAGTACCCATACTGCTACCATACTCTTATCAACAATACTTTTACAAATTAATGAAATTAATCTTTTTTGTTTTTGTTTTATTATTCTTTTCTATTCAGCAGTTTTCTAACTCTGTTAGTGGTCTGTAGAATCTTGACCTTTTATACAGTTGAGTTGCAAAAAAAATTATAGAAATTAACTGGAACCAATGCGGTACTGGGCAGGATGGACCAATGATATAATCTAGTCAGCGACACCTTCCTGTGTTCCTAACATTATGGACTGCAACTCCCAGAATCCCGACCCTCCCAGCACATTTTTTGAACTGCAAAATAATTTTTTAATAAAATTAAAATTCCACACTCTGCTGGAGGCAGGCCAGCTGGCGTACACCATGCCAGAGGCTAGGCTAAGAAATAAAGATATGCTTTTGTATTGGCTCAGAGACCCCTTCAGGTGAATTGTCTATGAAGGAGACTATGGAGCTTAGGGGGGGGGGAATGGTCAGTCCCATGCTCAGTTAGGCCAAACCATTTAGAAACAGAGATTTTTGACTCCTTGCTTGTAAGATGCTTAGAACTGAGATGGATTTTGCAATTTTCAAACAGTATACAGTGATGCCTTGCAAGATGTATGCCTCACGCAATGGAAAACTCGCAAGACGAAAGCATTTCGTGATTTTTTTGGTGACTCATAAGATGAATTTATCTATGGCCGTGCTTCACAAGATGAAATTTTCGCAATACGACACGATTCGCGGAACGAATTAATTTTGTCTTGCAAGGCATCACTATAGTCAGATTAACTGTAGTCAGATTTTGGTGACATAGCATGGGATTTGAAAATGCAGCTAGTGGTACCATTCGGTGGTAGCATACTTTGACTCGCAGTTCTCTGTCTCATTGAAGACCCTTAGCAGAGCTCAGACCATTACCTTTTAAAAAGCACTTGTTGTCTTATGACTTGCTTCTTTACAACCAGGTTGCCATTATCATCATTGAATACCTCATTGCACTACACTTTTGTATGATATTGCACTGGTCATGCCAACCATCTAGAGAAATATTTTGATTGCTTATTCTGATATTGCACCTTAAACATATTTATAAAAGTAACACTAAGAAAATGATATAAAATCTTTGAAAATCATGTTAATATACTTTAAATGCCCTTTAAAAGAAACTTTTGGAACTAAATGCTGCTCATTACAACTACATA